TATATGTATTATCTCTTGAAGTACATGTTGTTGTGTCATCCATATTTTGTAGAAATTTGAAATGATATAAATGAGTAAAATTAGACCAACAAATATACGCTAAGATACTTAGACTAAAATATTTTTCTCCTCCAATTTCATTCATTTAACTTGAAATGGATTTCAAACAAAAAAAAAAAATTTTTTTTTTTACTTTCATGACTACATGATATAAAGCAATTTCATCGATGTTGTGAACATCTTTTAAATTGATTCAATGTTGAATTCTCAGGCAATGAACGATAATTGCTACTCTTTCTAAGCCTAAATTTTGATAAAATACTAATTTAAAAATGATCACAACACATTTTAATCATCTATTTTATTTTTTCTTTTCCACTATCTCCCAACCTAATGCAATATTACAACCATACATTATTCCATATTACTTTTAATTTTTTTTTTTCTTAATTTAAATCAACAAATTTATCATAGAATTTAGACTAGTTTTAAAAAAAAAACATTGTATATGTATAAATAAATTGCGTGACACATAATCTATTTTCTTTAATTTTTTTTTTTTTGTTTAAATACATTTTAGTCTTTTTTTTTTACATTTCTCGGAAAAACTTTTTCAAACTTTGTTCATTTTCCACTTCCGCAAAAATTCTCCTGAAAATGAATATTTTAAAACATTTTTTTTTTTTTTTGTTGCTGAAACTGGAAATCCTTTTCATCATATTGATTTATATTTAGCAACATATCTTCATTTTAATGCTTAATAGATAAGAGTGAAGATCACTGATTAGTTTTAAAACTTTCCCTTTCAAACAATGCATGATTGTCTTTTTGGGAAATTCTTGCTTTTGAATGAGAATTAGCTGTTAAAAAGTTAACTCTTGAATATGTATTGAATATCATACTTAATTACTGGAAATATTTGAAAAGGAAATTTTTTTTTTTTCATCCTCTCGCTTATAAACTCATTGATAAATGTTTTACCACTAATTAAATGAATTTAATTTTTTATACCGATGTTTTTCTTTTCTTTTTTTTTTTTTTTGTTAAAATGGAATAGTTCAGGATATAAGGATGATAAAAAAAAAAAGTTGATTAATTAATTTGATAGCTTCATCCTTCTTTTATTTTAATATCCTATTTGTAAGAGTGAAACTTGCTAGATAGTTGAAAGCATCCAGAAGTTGATCGAATCAAATTGAAGAAAATAACAATGAGGAAGAGAATTCATTGCCAGGAACGAACACCGATAAGGCAATTCATCCACAAACATATTATATGGGAAAAGTACATCATTTGAAAATCCATTTTTAACTACTAATAGCAACTATTCCTCTAACATCTTCTTTCAAAAAAAAAAAAAAAGAAAAAAAAAGGGAAAGAAAAAAAGCCACATTTCCAGGACTGATAATTCCAGATTTTTTTTTCCCCCTTTCTTGTTGACATTTATTCCGGCGGAAATGCTATGCGAAGAAATGGAATGACAAAGTGCTTGGCGGGATAAATGCAATTGAAAATGATGAAGTTCATTCCTGTTAATGCTAAAGCTCGAAAGAATTCAACTGTCATATGATAAGTGTGTATTTTCATTCAATCATATAGCAGCAGAAGCTAAGCTAGTGAATTGAAATATGTAGATTTTGTCACATTTGTTGATTTATATTATAATAGAAATGATTTTAGGTTAGCTGAATTAGACAAACTTATTCAAGAATACAAGAGAAAGATTAAAGATTAGTCGTTGTTAAATGGTTGAAAAAAGATCTTTTGAGTAAATTGAAAAATGTCTTTGAGCTAAAAAGGTTCAATTGATCATCCTGAAAAGACTCATTACTGAACGAAAGCGCTCTACTTGCATTCGTATTTTCTTCAATGCCTTCCGCTTTTAAGGATTACCATTTCCTTTTTTAGTCATAGGCCAATTATTTCCTCTTTCCTTCCACCGGAAACACATTAGTGAGAGAAAATCATACAAAAACTGCTCTTTTTGAGGAGAGTGTTATTCCGTACCGGAACCATTTCAAATCACTGAAAAAGCTCCAGCCAGGTATTATTAAACTACTAAGTGACATGTATGTATATGTGACACTCGAAGATTTAGTGTTATTTTTGAAGCATTTATTTTATTTAATCGGTTTTTCTATGATTTAAAATTAATTTAATTTTAAAATTTACTCATATATGTTATTTATATCACTATATGTTAAAAAATTAATTAGTTAAATGGTTTCTTAATTTATTCAAAAATTAAACGATCATTTAGTTTACTAATATTAACAGCATACATATTATCACTCCTGAAGTTATCACAATTTGTAATCATCACAGCTGTATTGCAACAATCTGATCTCTCCAAATGATTTCTTCTTTTTCTACTTCCTTCTAACCTTATCGCATCTTCTTATCTTTCGATATCTTCTACTTATCTTTGTGTAACTATCAAGTTCCCTAAAGAATGATATATTGAAGTTATTGATTAATATGTTACTAATATACGGATGATTATTTGATTGTACGACCTTTAAACTTTACCTAAATATTCCTTTTCTTTTTGTTTTTCGCCTATTATTTCATTCATTCTTTTCTTTGCAATTTATTCATATTTTCATAAATCTTTATTTATCACTGTTAGTATCACTAGTATTGCTTTATTTATCACTGTTAGTATCACTAGTATCACTAGTATTGCTTATATTTCTTCACTATTCGATCAGAACACATTCATTCTTCTTTATCAATAAATCATTTATCATTTATCACATACCGTCTCTTTTTCTCCTTATATTTTATAACAAATGATTTCGAATAGTATTAAATCAATCGATTTTATAATCAGTTAAATTATTGCAGGAATGAGAAATGTATGTCTGAATGAAATGACCAAATGGTTTTAGTGATATTTTAAGTATTTCAAGTAAGATTTTACTTAATTCTATGGTCATTTTCTCTTCATTATCATTATCAATTTCTTCCGAATATTTAGTTTTTCTTTTTCTTTTTTTATTTGTTTATTTATTTATTCATTTTACTAATCTCTAAAATCTCACTTTAAAATCTTTTCATTTTTCATTTCTTATTTTATATTCTAATACTCTAATAATAATTTTAAATTTTCAATTCCCTCGCCATTTTATTATTTTATTTCATATTTAATCTCTCATCATAAATTGATCGAAAAATGACGTGACAATAGGAGGAATAAAGGTGCTAAAAGCTTAAGTAAAATAGGCCCTTTCTCTTTTTCCCATATATTTGATGTTATATTTAAAAAGGGTGTATAAAGCGGAAATGCAATGGAAGTGGAATGAAATTTCAATTTTTTGCTAATTTTTCATTACCTTTGCAGGTACTGCCATAACCAATTTTCATTTTCATACTATCCTGCAAATGAATGATTAAGCGTTTTTAATAGGAAAAAGGAAAGTATGAAAAATTTAATTTTTCTCTTTTTATCAGCAATTTTCCGGAGGAAACTTAAAAGTTTTTAATTTTGAAAATTAGGAAGTAAATTCTTCCCTGCTTCATTTCTTCGTTGCTTTTATTACGATGATATAATAGAATAGCGGAATTAAAGGATCTAATCAGACTAAACATTTTCCACTTCAAAAATTTTCTAATAATTATTTATTTTTATTAGATTTTAAGAAAATTTTTTTTTGCACCAATTTTTTTTCTTTTTTTTGAAGAAAATTTAAACGTATTGATCGTTTAGTTTTCTTAAATTTTTAAATTGCTTAATTTTTTATCAATAAAATTCAATGTTTTTTTAATTGTTAAAAGTATTGGAATAATTTTTGAATTATATGATATTATTCTAGAATTATAACATATAAATTCTTTCAATGTATTGGAAGAAAATTTTTCTTTATCGTTGATTATTTCATTTCAAATTTTCCCATTTATTATATCTTTTCTTTTTTATGCGTTTAATTATTGCATTAATTAATTCGCTTATTGTAATAAGCATATTTTATTCACAGATAAGCCTAACCAGCTAATAATTGTGGAAAGATATATTCAAAGGAGCAAAAGAAGAACAAACAAATCAATATTAAAAAGAAAAATGGAAACATCCGACAGTTTCGTTCGCTTTTATCGTAAAGATAAAAAGATATCATGTATTTATTGAATCATCAATCTAATATAGGCTTGATGATATCTCTAATCTAAACAATTATCATATGTACTAGCAATACTACTGTTACTATCAAATATTATCACTACTATTATTATTATTATTATTATTATTATTATTATTATTATTAACTACTGCTATCAATATTATCATTTGCTAGTTTTTGATAATAAAATTAAATCAAAAGCTATTTGTGAACTGAGAAATAATTGTGTAATGAATATGCACAATATAATGGAAATAAGCTTGATGAATAACTTTTTCATAAGTTAATTAAAAATATCAAGCAAAAAAAAAAAGAAAGTTGCAAAAAGAAAAAAAAAATTAATGAAAATATTGTATGTAAGAAAATAAGAAAAAAAATATGTACAATGTTGCAAATAACTGTAAAATATTTTAAATTCTTATTTACTTTACAACAAATTATTTATTATCCTACGAAAAATATTTTTATTCCTTCTATTTCTACTGCATTTATTATTGTTGTTTTATTACTGTCAACGTATTCTATTACTGTCGCATATATTCTTGATGTAACTTAGATTAACATATATACAACTAGCATTCCATTAAAGAGGAATTAATTAAACAATATCATCTTATTTCTTTTCTTTTTTTTTTTTTATAATTTAACAAAGATATTATTATTGAAATTTGATCAACTGGCTTGCTATCGCTGATATTCTATAAATAAATTTAATATAAAAATTAGAATTTAATTGTAAATTTGTTCGAATTTCAAACGAAATTTCATCAAAGAATTCAATATTTTCATCTAATAAATACTGGTACTAGCTACTATTATTGCTACCGTTTATAATTGCAACCTGGTGGTTACCTGAATAAATATCCGCATGGCGTTGTCGTCATGAAAACAGCGGTTTTTGGTCACGACGAAATATGCGACGATACAACATTATCGTTGAACAGTGGTGCTATACCACCATTAACATTTGCGCCACCAGCAGCACTATCTGTTTCTTCTACCTTACAAATCCGTGGCGGTGTTGCCAATGCTGTGAGCAGTTATCGGTCGCATCATCCGCGACGCACTTCACGGATGCAAAATGTAAGTAATACTTGTCCACTAATTGGCAAGCACTCTATCCTTTCTTTTTTATGCTTTTTTGTACTTTTTGTTTGATTATTCAACATTTTCTTAAGTTTGTTTAATTTTTTTCCCAAAATGAGTTTATTCTTTAAAAAAAAAATTGAAAATATGACACTCTAAAATGACACTAATTACTTGTTGGCTAATTAGCTAGTATCATGTCTCAGCTATTTTATTTTAAACTAAACTAAGTTAGTAAATACTTTGCCATCATCTATTCCTTATTACGCTTTCCTTTGAAATTCCTTGAATTCTCATATCTTTTTTTAATCTAATTTTATTTTCTTCTCAAATTTAAAATTTTTAACAAAAAATTAAAATCGATGTTCCTGCTATCTTTACATATCGGAATTTTTTATCAACTAAAATGCAACATTTGATTCTTTTCCTTTATAAATAGCAAAAGCATCGATCTAATATTTTAGCATCAGTAATTAATTTATTAATTGGGCTCTTTAATCATTCAAAATTTAATGCGCTTATTCACTTTGCTCATTCTACCTTTTCCTTTTTTTTATTCTCAAAATTATGCTTCTATTTGCAAAATAGTAAGTTGTTAATGATTAATTAATTAATTTAAGACATGAGAAGCGATGATAATAATGTAATTATGAAGTATTTAAATTTCAATTTCTTTTTTTTTCTTTTTTTTCTTTGCACTTATATAGCAAGGAAACTTCGAAAAAGTAGACTGATCATAATCTTATACCTATGTTTTGTTTTTGGACGATCTAAATTCAAATTCAATTTTGAAATTAAAAGTTCAAAGGTTAGAAGAAGAACAGAGATGGATTACTGCTTGAAATCAACTTTTACTTTAATTTCGATTGAACAAATTAATTTTGCATATTTAATCCCTTAAAATTTTGCAAAAAAAAATGAAAGCTGAAAATGAACCTTTTTTTTTTTTGTTTTTCTATGATTACTTCTTGTTTTTTTAATATCTATTAATTGTTCAGTTGCAAAACAAATTTTATCGTTGATTTAAAATTATCACATGCATCATTTCACTGTGATAAATTGATAAACTATTCGATCATTTCGAATAATAACTTTCAAAAAAAAAAAGCTGCTTGAAATATAATATGTGCTCTCTTTAATCGATTATCTCATATCTTTCAAACTTTTGCCTTTTTTTTTCCTCACTCTTCGAAATTGTTTTAAATTTTTAAATTTTTATTATCAAATTATAAAGTTATTTGAAAAGATTTCTCTAACTTCTCAGTTCTCTTCCCAATTATATTTCAACTTATTTATTTTATTTCATCTAACAATTGAAATTAAGTTTATTTAAAATTAAAATATATTTTTATGGATATAATTATTACACCTCAATTTTACTACATTTTATCATTTATTTTTATCAAATTTACATGTATTTTTTCCTTTTTTTTCTTTCTCCTGAAAATGTATTTTTGAAATAAAACAAATTCTAACTGTGTAATAGCAAATTCAAGAATCTTTGAGCAAATTAAAAAAAAAAAAAGTAGTTTAAGTTTCAAAATAAAATTGACTTTTGAAAAATGCTATCATTAGATTTTTGCATGTTAATTCGTTTATTGAAATGATTTCCTCAAAGAATTTTCAAATTTTTTTTCCTTTTTTCATTTTTACTCTCAAAATTTTTTTAAAATACTTTATTCTTCCTCCCTTATCATATCATATTTATAACATATCATCTACACAGCTATCTCTCTCTCTCTCTTTCTCTTCCCATCACTCTTCTAAAATGTTTTAGAGATCAGAAATTTTTTCAAAACTTATCACTTCCCACTATCACTCTATCATGATAATAATGAAGTGTTTGGTTTTTATCAGTACATTTTATTATCTTTTATTTTAGTTTATAACTTCTGAAGTTAGCCGTTTTCGGATCCATAAATTATGGAACAATTAGCATTATTGTCATCATTATTACTTTCATTTTTATCCTCTATACCTTCCTCTTATATTTACAGTATATAATTTCATGCTTGATAACATTTCTCTTTTCTCTTCCACTTTTAAATGAACAACGAATAAAAAAGAATTCATTTTTTTTTTTATGTAACCAGAATTCCGTATCAATATTTTTTTTCCGGAATTGCAATAATTTGAGTACAATTTCTGGTTCATAACTTTTCTGGATACATAATCTTTTGAGCATAAAGAACTTTTTCCATATTTATTCTTGCATCGTCGATTTTCTTTTTTTTTTTTTTTTAAACAATTGAATTCAAAATGCAATAATTGAATTTTACACTTTCCATTTCATTATCAAAACATTCATTGTTTTGCAAATTGTCGAGATTTTAAGTTTTTTATTTAAATTTGAAATCAAAAACTTTAGTAGAAAGAATTAAATTTTAAATCTTAATTTTAACCGCCCTTTCATATCTTACACGATATTTTCCATTTAAATCAAGCTGTTAAAAAAATGTAAAAAATCATTCCTGTAAAAAGTCATTGTTACTTTTTTAGGAGTGGAAAATTCGGTAATGTATTTTCTAATATGATTTGTAAAAGTTTGCTAAAATTAATTTTTCATGATAGAAGAGACAGGAAGAAAGGAGGGGAGAGAGAGAGGGAGAGAGAGAGAGAGGAAG